TGTATTTAGGATTTCGAATTTCGAATTTATTATTTAGAAATTAGAATTTACAATTTAGTATTTAGAAATTAGGATTTACGATTTAGTATTTAGAAATTAGAATTTACAATTTAGTATTTAGAAATTAGAATTTACGATTTAGTATTTAGAAATTAGAATTTACGATTTAGTATTTAGAAATTAGAATTTACAATTTAGTATTTAGAAATTAGAATTTACAATTTAGTATTTAGAAATTAGAATGTACACTTTAGTATTTAAAAATTAGAATTTACAATTTAGATGCATTATGCAATTGAACAAAATGGAAAATTTAAAAATTAATGGAAAATTCAACGCGAATTAAGGTTATCAAAAAGTATCAATCGGACGCTCATAAGTTCATAAAGAATTGATTCATTTTTAAGAGTCGAATATACTATTAATTCATATTCGCTTTTATAGTTAATTTTTCGACTAGAATCTTAGGTGTTACGATCAATGGTGATATAATATTATGTTTTTTAAATTAATCGCTTCTATGTATTCATTATATTCAGATGAAATTCTATTAGTTAACGACAATAGTGTTGCAATTTGTTAACATGTTATTAATCGAAGTTCTGGTTACAATAGTATTGGTTTGCACAGAGAACTAATTTATACGATTAGTATTGTCATTCGTTGCATCTTCACTGTTAAAGTTTAAGCAACAAGTAAATACTATAGAAAAGTTGAATTCTTCAGTTTACAGTTTACAGTTTATGAAACTTTGATAGGAGGTAGAAGTTATAAAACAAAGGTACATTTGATGTTGGTATATTGAATATTATATCAACATAGTGTTAATACATTGTATACTGGATACTCTTCTCTTTATTATTATAAAAAAATGTCCCATAGAAAAGTATTTTCTTTTTCCTCGTAGTGTAAGAATTTCTAAATAAAAATAAATGTTTTCATTCTGAAAAATAAAGGTGATTTTCATAATTTTGAAACTTTAAAAATCTTGAAAACACTTAAGGAACAACAAATGAATACTACAGAAAAGTTGTGTTCCTCTGTTCAAAGTGAAAACTATTTATATGAAATAATTTTTTCGATAACGCTCATACCACGCTGGAAAATACCGGTTCTCGTCCGATCACCGAAGTTAAGCAGCATTGGGCGCATTTAGTACTTGGATGGGTGACCGCTTGGGAACAGTGCGTAGCGTTGGCACTTTTTTTTCTTTTTTTTATTTATAATATTTCTTTATTGGTTTTGTAATTGGGTACTACTAGTCTTTTAACACAAAATTTCATAAAATATAAATATTTATTATCGTTGCAAGAATAATTAATGAATTATTTAGAATTCTGATTAATGTATTATTTTTTTATTAATTTTACACAATTCTTTTTTATTGATTATTTTTTAATTTTGATTTGCAACTAGTAATAAAAAATATAGAAATATAACGAAACAGTAGAATGGAGAAAATGGAGAGTTGTGTTTAACTTAATAATAATTTCCAATCCCCATTAAAAGGTCCTCATTAAAAATTGTTCAATTTATAAAATTACATCTAAAGTTCGCATTAATTTGACAATTAAAACTTAGAACTTACGATTTAGTATTTAGGATTTCGAATTTCGAATTTAGTATTTAGAACTTAAAATTTACAATTTAGATGCATTATACATACAGTAAGGAGCATAAATGAACCAATGACCACAAGTTTTGCATAAATCATTATTCATTACTAGGAATATAAAAGAATAACAAAAAAATAAACATTATAATTATTTTTATCACAGTTAGAAGCAACATAAGAAAGTCATTCGGTAATTAACATCTTGTTGTTTATGAATAATACGAACAATAGATTGACTCAGTTTTGCACCGCGTTCAATATTTGACAATATTTAATATATTATTTATTTTTAATATTTCGTTCGCAACCCTTTTGCTTGAAAAACTGCACTAATTCTCTTTGGCACACTTTCTATTAACTTTTTACAATAATCTGGAGATATTTGTTCCCACTGTCCTTGAATTCTGTTATGCAAATTCGTGATTGAAGTTGGTTGGGAGTCATATGAATCCCGAAGTCGTCTTTTCAGCAACCCCCATAGATTCTTTATGGGGTTGAGATCGGGGCTCTGTGCAGGCCAATCCAAAACAGAAAATGTTTTAGTATCGAGCTTATTTTTCACACTTTTAGCAGTGTGCTTAGGGTCTCGATCATGCATGAAAATTACATTTTCTTCTTCGAATGGCATATTTTCAACAGCATCTATGAGATGATCTTGTAAAATATCTTTGTACATATACTGATTCATGATGCTATTAATTTGGTGCAGTGATCCAACACCAAATTCTGTTAGGCACCCCCAAAACATTAGGGATCCGCCGCCATGCTTTACCGTTTGCTTCACATGTCGTGGTTTAAGCCTTTCATTTTTACGAATCCAGCACCAAGCCATGCCATCTGAACAAATTCTGTTAATTTTAATCTCGTCTGTCCAAACAATCCGTTCCCATTCAGTAGTTGTCCAGTTTTGATACTTTTTGGCAAATTCCAAACGAAGTTTAATATTTTTCTTTGATAACATTGGCTTCTTTTTCTTCTTAATACTTCTAAAATCATCTTGTTTAAGGGTCATTCGTGCTGTCCACTTACTTATTCGTATATTCGTATCTTCTTTTAATAATTGTACAGCCATGATGGCACTTGAAGCTTCACCAGATGTGACAAACCGTATAATTCTTCGTTCATCCTGCGGCGATAACTTTTTTGGTCTTCCACCAACATTAAATAACATACCTTCACAGTAGTTTTTTCTTATTCTCTGCACTGTCGATCGACTAACTCTATAATTTTTCGTCGCCTGACGCGTTGACAAATCGCCATTCAAAAAAGAAATGACTTTTTTTGAACAATTTGGAGCAATCGACTTCATACTTATTCTTACTTCACTTCCGTGCCTTTCCGTTCGACTGATTACGGTAAACTGAGTGCTAAGACGTACAATAACATTTTGTAAACATTCCAAGCTGCTAGCTGTAAACATACTGCTGGAACATTCCACGTAAACATTCCTTTTACCGACCGGTGCAAAACCGAGTCGATCCATTTTCTTTGCCATTGCTAAACCAGGAGACATTAATTACTGAAAAACCTTCTTACGTTACTTCTAAATATGATAAAAATTACTGTAATATTTATTTCTTAATATTCTTCCACATTCTTAACGATAAATAAAAATGTATACAAAACTTGTGGTCATTGGTTCATTTATGCTCCTTACTGTATATGTTCGTCTTTCTTCACCTTTAGCACGATACTCGCTCGATTGGTCGGCTGTTTCCGGATCGTAGGCATAGATCCAAGTCTCATCTTCCGTAATGATGCGTTTCATGACTGGTTCATAGTCGGAAATCATCTCTTTACAGTTGTTAATACGACGCTCTTTTTCGAACAAATTCAGTGCTTTCGGTACCGATCGAGACTCGACACGTTTCAAGCCCAAAAGATCTTTCAAAATGGTATTCACTGACCCTTTTGAAATGCCAACAGTGTCTGAAAGGTCTCTTATTGTCAGTCGACGATTTTGTAACACTAGTTTTTTGATTTCATCGACGTGGCTTTGATCAGTAGACGTTGGTGGCTGCCCTCGGCGCTCTTTGTCTTGAACGCTTTCTCGGCCATTTTGGAACTCTTTGTACCGCTTATAAATTTTTTTTTTGACATAGCCTGGTCGCCAAAGGCCTTTCGCAGCATTTCCAAAGTATCCGCGGCAGAATATTCATTCCGCAAACAAAATTTAATGCAAACTCTTTGTCGTGATCGTCGCGACAACACTGTTGTGGTTGGCTCACGACGAAGAAGTTTTGCTGGTTGGTTTTTTACAATTCTTTATTGCGTGAAGTAATCCTTTTCGGATCTTTTAGAGTGATGTGGTCGTTTTTTTTTTTTTTTTGGTCCTTTTCTCCTGTGTGACTGCAGTATCTTGGGCTGTGCCCTATAACCTGCACTTAAAAATGTATGGTTAATGTCTGTGTGTAGTTTTGGTGGGGTGGTTTTATTGAGTTAATTTCATGTGTTAGGATCGAGGGAAAAGTTTCAAAAACCTCGATGCATTAGTGTGTCGTGCGACAGTGGAGATTGGGTGTTAGTTATTTGAGATGAGTTTGGGTGTTTTCATGCGGATCTTTAGTGGGAATTCTGCGCGATTGTAGTTGCCTAGGGAGGATACTAGGGGGTTTGGGTGCTGTATGTTATTTTCCTGTGCTTTAGTGGCTAATGTCATGATGTATTCGTGCAGGAGTTCTGTATTTGCTTCTCTGTAGAGTAGTGCTGTGGAATAGGATCGGGGTTTGTTGAGTATGATCCTGAGGTATTTATTTTGGATTTTTTGTAATGTAGCTATGTGTGTCCTTGCGGCGGTGCACCATACTGGTGCTCCGTAAGTTAGGATGGGGCGGATGCAGGTTTTGTAAAGTCGGATTTTTAGTGGGACAGGAAGCGGGCTGTTTCGTGCTAGGAACGGGTATAGAACGCGGAGGATCCCTAAGCTTTTGCAGGCTCTGTCTTTGGAGTTATGTTGCCATTTTAACTTGTTGTCAAACCATATTCCTAGGTATTTTACTTTGGAGGACCAGTTGATAGGGTGGTTGCTTACTATTAATTTGTCAGGGTTCTTTAGCCTTTTTGGGGTGAAAAAATTGCTTCTGTTTTGGTTGGATTTAGCGCTAGCTTCCATGTGGTGGTGAATCGGAGGATGTTGTCGAGGTGGTTTTGTGCGTGCTTGGTTGCCAGTTTGATTTGCCACGAGGAGGAGTAGATGGCTGTGTCGTCTGCGTACAGGGCTAGTTTTGTGTTGGTGCTTTTGGGAATGTCGATGATGTAGATGTTGAATAGGATGGGTCCCAGGACTGTTCCCTGGGGTACCCCGGTGTGCAGGAGTCTGGGTGAGGAGATAGAACCATTGTAGGAGACTGTGGTGAGCCTGTCCGTGAGGTAATTTTGGATTATTTTAATTAGGTGGATGTGGAGGTTGATGTGGTGCAGTTTGAGGAGGAGGCCATTGTGCCAGACGGTGTCGAAGGCCTTCTGGAGGTCTAGTAGAACTAGGACCACCGTCCGGTTCTTGTTCACCTCCAGCGCAATGTCCTCCTGTAGCCTTAGGGCTTGCTGGACGGTGGAGTGTTTGGCTCTGAAACCAAATTGTTCTTGAATTAGGATGTTGTTGGAGGAGAGGTGTGCATTGACTTGGATGAGAATTATTTTTTCCAGGATTTTGCCGAGTAGGCTCAGCAGGCTAATTGGCCTGTAGTTGTATGGGTTTAGTGCGGATTTCTTGGGTTTGGGAAAAGGTATTATGCGGGCTGTTTTCCAGGCAGTGGGGAAGTAGGCTAGGTGGTATGACTGCCTGAAGATGTAATAGAGTTGGAGGGTCATTCTGGGAGGAAGGTGTTTTAGTTGGATGGCTGTTATTTTGTCAGGGCCAGGGGATTGTTTGTTTTTTAAGTTCTTAATCAGTCTGAGAATTAGTTGGGGGGTGATGGCTGTGGTGTTTGATGGGGGGGTGTTGGTGTTGTTTAGCTTGTGGATGAACTGCTCAGTTTCCTGATCTATGGAAGAATTGTTGAGTATGCTGGGTGGGAGGTGGAAAGCTCTGGCAAGTGATTCCGTTTTGTCTGCGTTAGTGTAAGCTATGGAGTTGGCGTCGTTGAGTGGTGGAATTGTGGTTTTGGTTTGTTTTAGGGATTTGTATGTCGTACAGAGTCTGTTGGGATTGTTAGCTATTTGGGAGATTTTGTGCTGCCATGCTGTGTTCTTTAGTTCTCGGATCTTGGATTGGATTTGGCTGGTGAGAGTGTTTCGGAGATGTCTGTGTAGTGGGTTGGCTGTGTTTTGGAATTTTCGTCTGTATCTGTTGCGTAGTTTTATGAGGTTCAGTAGCTCGGTGTCTGGTTTTATAGTTTTGTGGTAGGCATGCGTGGTGGTGGTTGCTCTGTTGAAGTTTTTTCTTATTGAGGTTTGAATTTTGGTTATTTCTCTGTCTATTTCCGGGGTAGAGTTTAGGTGCGGGTTTATGGGGTAGTTGTTCCCCTGGGAGCGGAATAGGTGCCAGTCAGTAGTGGAGAGGGTGCAGTTTGTGAATTGGGTGTGATTGTTGGTGTGCTGGAGGATTATTGGGAGGTGGTTGGAGGGGAGGTCGTGTATTGTGTGGCATTCGGAGTAGTGGGTGGAGTTGGTTAAGAAGATGTCTATATTGGATGATCTAGCGTGAGGCTGTTTGTGGGAGTAGGTATCACTGTTGAGGATGTGGTAGGAGTTTTTGGTCATGTGGGTGTACAGTGTTTTGCCGTTACTATTGGTGGTGGTGTTGTTCCAGCAGGGGTGCTTGGCATTGAAGTCACCCCCGATGATGAACTTTTGGTTGTGGGAGGTTAGGGTGTCCAGGTCATGCTGGGAAAAACGTTTGTTTGGGGGGAGGTAGGCTGCTCCGAGAATGATTTTGGGTTAGTGGTGAGTTTGATATGAAATGCCCTTCTACCTGTCTAGGAAGGGTTGGGGGAGAGTGTCGTACTTGAGGTTCTGGTGGATGATAATTGCTACTCCTCCATGGTGGGCGTGTGTCGGTCTTTCCTAATTACATTATAATCTGGGGAAGCGATGTCATCGGTGGGTTTTGAGCCAGGTTTCAGTGATTAGGCTAATTGAATTTTGATGTTGTTCGAGATATTTGGAGTTCAGAGGTTTTGTTGATGATGCTGGTGCATTCCAGAGAAGTATCTTGGGGGGTAAGTTAGCCATTATGAGTTCGGCGGCTTCAAGGAACGCTTGAGTTTTCTGAACTTTAGTGTTACATGTGCTGAGTTTAGTGTATAGAAAGTCGAGGGCTGCGGCCATGCTATTTATGTCCAGGATTTCATTATAATGGCTTGAGCCTTGGCGAATAAGCTGTGAGAGGTCCGGTTTGTGTAGTCTGTCTGTTTTGGCGGTGATACTGGCGTATGTTGTTTCGGGGTTACTGTGGGAAATGCTTTGCTGTGTGTGAGTGTTTATTGGATGGGGCACGCTGCAGGGAGTGGGTGGTTGTTGGTGATGGTGATGTGTTGCTCGCTTGGTGTGGTGGCGGGTTTTTCGTGCAGTTGGAACGTTTCTTGAGAATGCTAAGAGGGAAGGGCACTGGATATGTTGGCCGGGTGGAGCCTCCGCAGTTGCTAGCATGTGGCTGGGTTGTGTGGGGGGGGGTTTGGTGGACCTCTGGTTGTGCTGTGTTTGCCCGCGCACTTTAGGCAATTGTGTGCTTTTGGTGCAGTGAGGAGGAATGTCCGAATGCCTTGCGATCGGTAAGCACTGGAATGTACGGGCGGGAGCTATTATATTTTCTCCAGTATGCTCGGGGTGTTTGGAGCTACATTCCTAACATGGTTAATTGCTGCAGGGTGGTGGCCTTTAGCAAAAATTACTTTAGTATGTCGCGATGTAGCTGGGTATTTCCGTTTGAGTTCTGAGCAGGAGAGTCGCGTTGGCGTCGCTTAGGCCTCGCTGTATTTCCGCGCTAGAATTTCGTCCGTCGGGAGTTTGGGGATCTTTGAGAACTACAGTGCAATTGTTTTTCGCCTGTCAGGGAGTATGTGTGATATTGTATATTGCTACGGTTATTAGGTTTTTTGGTATGCTAGGAAGTCGGTTTGTAGAGGCCTTGGGTGATCTTTTGCTGATTTGAAGGTATTTCACCTCAAACTTGCTGTCGATGGTGGATTTTATCAGGTCGGAGAGTCCGTTGTGGTCTTTGATATGCGTCTGAATGAATATCGGCGGCGGCTTACCTTGGGCTGCAGTTGGAGTTGGGTTGTTAGGGGGCGTTACCTGCTCCTTGGGGGAAGGTTGTGGGTTGGCGTCGTTGCTGATGTCAAAGATGTCCGCCAGGGCGGCGTATCTGTTACTGATGGGCGTTGGCTGGGTGGCAGGGCGCGTCGGTGCTCCGGAATTGTCGGCGGATGCTTCCTTCGATGTCTTTTTTGTACGGGGTAGGATGAATCCGTCCGCGGAGATATTGGAGTACGTGGATGTTGTTGGTTTGGACGTGTCCATGTTCGTGCTTGTGGTGGCGGCGGTGGAGATTGGCGTTGCTCTGCTTGAGTCGGAGAGCGAGGTTGCTCTCCTCCTAACTGTTATTGGCGCGTATGGTTCACCTTCCCATCGCGTTGCCTGGCGATGGAGGTGTTTTGTTTTGTTTGGCCCTGTGGCCAGCTTGCTTCTGGAGGGCACCTCCTGGTGTTGCCTTTTGGGCCTCGGACCAAAATGGTTCGGCACTTCACTGGCTGGCGCTTCCACTGGTATTATTACGGTGTCGTTCGCTTTTCGTTGTTCGCTGCTCTGCTCTGTCGTTACTCAGTCGCTGCTCGGTCGCTTTCGCTACGGGGTGGTCCGTTCCTCACGGAGTCCCAAGGTCGAGCTCACTGACTCACTCACTCCTGTGATGTGGTCGTAGCTCGCGGGCTACCTTATATACCTAATTTTGGTGGGTGGAGACGCCGGAGTCGGAATAGAAGATTGGGAGTGGTTTATCAGGATTGGCTAATTGGGAAAAATGTAGGCTGGGACCTAGGAAAAGGAGTGGAGGTATGCATAGGGCTGTTCTGGAAAAGGAAAGTCGGTTAAGAGGACACCAGGGTAAGTGAAAACATGTGGGAAATATGGGTGGTCGAGCGGCGCCTCCAACCACCTAGCCGACGTCTGGCCTTGAGGGTACCACTTGCCCAGGCGACGAAAAACTGCCTAATGAACAGGCGAGCAAGTGGTTGGGCCCTAACACTTGGGCCTAACCTACGTATTATATTGCGTCGCGACGGGACGCTCTGGTCTGCGACGCAACACTCTTTGCTCAACAAAAATATTTATTATGAAAATCGCCGAATGCACTTTTACTGTTGTGGATAAACAAGCGTATCTCAAAAACAACTGAAGATAATGACGTGAAATTTGAAGTAGATAACAGTAGCAGAGCTACCAAGCTACAGAAAAAGAGTTTATCAGTTTGGGTAAAGCCGCGAAGTTTAAATTGGAAAGTCAGATTATTGTCAGTAAGATTATTATTTACCGACAATTAAGCCGATTTTTAAGAATTATTTCGAAGGATAAAGAATTAATAAATATTTCTAAGGTTTTGAGGACTATTTCGATCATACTTCAATTTCATTTTGCAATTTTTTTTGTTCAAATCAGATGCAAAATGGCGGAGATACAGCATGATTTGCTAGAAGCGTCGCATGACGTCTTCCAAAACAGTGTATACTCTAGTTTTTATTATCCGAATCTGCCGAGCAACGAAATATGATTAGTATATAACAATAGTAAATGGATGAACCGAAGATATTGAAGGAAAATTAAAAATTGGAAAAGTGGCAGACCTCGGAGCAAAAAGCTTAATATTTCAAAGAAGACTTGAATTCGTTTTTGCATTAAAAATGATGTCTATTTCCGTGATTTTAACTTACTTTTAAATTCATCCATGAGACATTACTATCATTAAAGTGTGTATTAAATTTCAGTCGGATAAGTTGAGTAGTTTTTGAGTAATCGTGTACAACGATTTTGAACTTGGCGAAAAAAGAAGTTTCGAGTAAATCGCGTTTAAAGTTTCGGCAAGAGAAATATGTATGATTTTGTGGCTTTCTGGCTAATCTGCTAATCCAGCACCGTATAATAATCCTTCTGCTTCCTTAAAATAGTCATTTTGCTCCGCCAATTGTTTACTACGTGCTGTACGGGCCTCTTTTGTTGACAACGAGCTGCGCCTTTCTTGCCTCTGAATTCGGCGCTGATTAGTTTTCTCGGCATAATCCATTGCTTGTTTTCCAATTGTCAATTGTAGTTCCTGCATTATTCTTAAGATTGAAAAATACCCTTCGTTAAAAATGCTGCCTGCTATAAATTCAGTAATTTCCACTATTTTCAATCCAGAATGGAGGTGCTTCGGAGCCAAACACCAGACGGTTCAGTCGAAGCTCTCATTAGCGTCTTGTGTATGATCGCCTAAACATTTCTGCAGCAAATCTTCGTTTGATAATTCTTCGAAAACCGGAAGAATATGCTTCCGCACATCAGGGTGAAGAGGCGGAGGATGATTCAAATTATCAGTGCTCGTTTCGAGTGCTTCGATTTTTTTCCATTTGCACCAACTTTCTTCTTCCGTCAGACAATGCTCGTGCCTCGAATTTTCATTCGTTTAACATAAATGATAATATGTAGCCATTACAGCGTTTTTCATCTCGATAACATTGTTTATATTTCTTCTAATAGCTAATCCATAATAAGATTGAAGTTTTTTGATAAGGGTATCCGTTGATATTCCTTTACCACCAAGTTTGTTGGTCTTTTTAACATTTCGAAGCCGAGTACCCATTCTCTTCTCTACGTGGCCAATACACTCACTTTTTTTTACTCCAAATTCATCACCATATGGATTTACATTTAAAATCGCTTTGAATGTTTTTGAATCTCCAAATGCAAGAAGTACCAGCGCAACAATCCTGAACGAAAAACTGTGTTACTTGTTACTCTGTGATGAATTCATCTGCTAATTGTAACAGGAAACGCTGTCTTGGTATCTTTATTCCAGTTGTTGCCTGATAGAGTATCCATGCATTGATTCCAACGAAATCCAATTTAGTGAAAAATACGTGTACTAGGCTATCTACTGCATTTTGATTTTACGCTATGTTTTCGCGCCATTTGGTCAACCATATCGGCGCCAAATTTAGTTTTATTATAATAACTAATTGTTTTCTTTTCATTGATTTTGATTTTGACGCATTTATGCTTTGAACTTCGTATCCTAATTCTTTTTGTTGGTTTTGATTTATAAGTTGTCAGCGTACAGTCATTTAGATTTATACAGGGTGTTCAGCCATCCCTGGGAAAAATTTTAATTTTAAAATGGAAATTTTAGAGATAAAATAAGATGATAATCAAGAATATCAATTTCTTGACCGGGGCTTCGTTAAAAAGTTATTAAAAAATTTCGAATCGTTCTAAAAAAATTATTTTTGGTTGCAGGGGTTAATTGTAATTATTTTTGGTCGATAGACATACCCTTGAAATCCTAACCATTGTCGAGAAAAAAATTCCTTACCGAAAATATAATTTCAGGCCAGAAAGAAATGCCACTCGAAAATTTCTTGCGTATCTTTAAAACGTCATAACTTCTGAACAGATTGTACGATTTTAATTTTCCAAAATACAAACTATGCGTATTTTAGTGAAGAATATGTGACGATTCTAAAAATATTCGAAATGTTATTCCTTGACTCCGCAAAATGAGAAAAACCTCATAAAAATGGTCCAATTTTCAAATGTTCATAACTCCTACAATAGTGAATATATTTCAATGAAACTTTTATCTGAAGCAGAGCCCATGGGTACCTACAAAAAAGTGTTGGACAACTTTTTTGTAGGGAGTCAAACAAAATTATTAAAAATCAAAAACGAATTATTTCAACCATTATAAAATTGTCTCGACAAAATCTTCAGATCCTCGGAAGAACTAAAAAATCAAATTCATTTTTCAGAAGTATGGAATCTTATTTTTCGATCAAACGTATTATACAATTACCCGAAAGGTGGGCTAAAATTGTAAAACAAAACGCTGCATATTTAATTGACGTGTTAAATAAAACATTGTGTTTTGAATTTGTCTAAAAGATTTGAATCGAACTTTCCGAACAATCTAATACTAATCACATGTTCGTCGAACGTTTGCAGACGAGAATCCCGCGTGAAATTGGCGCTCGTCGGTAGCAGATGGATCAAAACAAAAATTGTGCAACCGCGTCATTTTGTTATTCCATCGTATAATAAACGAGAAGGCATATGCGAAAAAACCGGTTTTCCGTGGATGCTGAATCATATCTAAAACCTGCTGCTTCTTTCGCGTTCGCGTTCATGCCGATGACGTTAGCGCAACGCGCATGTGCAACGTATAAAACAAACTAATCTCGTATTAAAAATGATTATTATTATTATTATTTTATCCAGCGATATGGTATCTAATAATTCGATGTTGCATTATATCGTCACGTCGTTGTTACGTCTGCTCTTTGGAAATTCTGCTAATTTGGACGAAACGATGACGCTTTTGACCAGATACGAGTTTATCTGCCAATTATGCTTCTGCCACTCAAATTCGAAATCTCTCGGAATTTCGCGTCCGTGGAGAAAATTCTAACTCTAAATTGAATTTAGAGCAGCGGTGCATCTATTCTGTGAGAGATGGAGGATTAAAAATTGGCAGAAATGATCACGATTTCTGGTATTTGACAAAATTGTATCAATCCCTTGCCTTATGATTTAATTTCTGAAAACATCTGATCAAATTTTAGAAAATATACACATAGTTTTAGAATTCTTGAACATACAGACATAGTTTTAAACAATTATTGTGCAGAAGAAACTTTTTAATTTTCGTCTTTATAAAATGATAATGTATATAATAAATCTTGTAGGTAAAATGATAATATACACTGTGGAGCATAACTATAGCACCACTATAATTTTCAAGAGTTTTGTAGTTGTAACTGATGATTTCTAAATGTTAATAATACCACGTGAAAAGGACTAGAAAAAAATTATAATCAATGGAAAAAATAGAAAAATAACATTTATTTAACACGAAGTATAATAATAAATGAAATATTGCAATGGTGCATAACTATAGCACCAATGTATTTGGAACGTGATAATAAGGTTAAATGGCTATAAAGTGTTAAATTTCTAATTCAGTTTATTAAAGCGAGCAGTTTCAATAATGAGTGGGACCTCCTTTTTTATGTATTAATTCAAAAATACGATTGTTCGTACTTGTAATGAGTTTTTTCAAAGTTTCTTCGCTAATTTGATTCCACGCTTCGATAACTGCTGTTTTTAGCTCCGAAATGTTCGAAAATTGTCGATTATTTCCATAAATATGCCGTACCATGATACCCCATAGGTTTTCAATTGGATTTTGGTCCGGGGAGCATGCAGACCATTTCAATACATTGACATCAAACGTTTCAAACTGTGGTTTGTCGGATATTATGGATCGGAGCATTATCTTGTCGATAAGTCCATGAAATGTGATTGTTCGCACGAATAAAAGGCAATAAATGATTTTCGAGTATTCCAATATACTCCGCGCTATTAATTCGTGTAGTTGGAAAAGCTAATCCGAGCTTGCCGCAGGAGCAGAATGCACCCCACACGATAAGTGTCCCTCCACCGAAATTACGTTTCGAAAAGTATTTTTGTTCTTTACGAAGCTCCCTCCAATATGAATCAAATCAAATCCGGACCGTCCAAATTGAATTTTTTTTCGTTAAAGAAAATAAACTAAGTTCAGTAAAGAATATTGAATATGAAGCTAAAATCTCGATTTACGAATGTCTAAACTTAACTTACATTATTCCAATTTCTGCTCATGTTTTCTCGTGCGTCGTCAAGCCTGGCTATTTTCTGACGTTTCAGAAGTGTAGGTGCAGACATCATTTTTTGTCTCATAATGTTTGAATTATGTTTTGTTGCGTTTATGGGGCTTCACTTAAATTAACAACACATTGCACTGCACAGTTCAACATATATATTTATTCGTTTCAACAATGGGTCATGTGGGCACATGTGTTCATTTGACCAGTTTCCTCAAACCGACTGCCCATTGTTCTCGGGCCACCCTTCCGGCCCCGGCAACCGACTCGCCCCGAAGGCTCCCGAGCCTACCCGAACCGCGCACGAAAGACGTGCAGTTGCACCACGCTTTGTTCCAACATGTTTAGGGACACGTTGGACAGTCCAACGAGAAACGCCGAGATCACATTCCTTCGCAATTTGTTTACAGCTTTTTAACGTATTGCTCGCAACTTTAGCAATTTGCCTTTCAGTACGAGGGGATAACTTCTTCTTAGGTCCTCCTTTCTTATTTTTCCCATACTTAGTAGGATCGCGTAAAAAATTCAGTGCAACTTTATGAGATCGGCCGAGTTCACGTGCGATTTCACGTATCCCGATTTGTTGCTCTCTGTACGCTGAAATTGCAGCTTGCTCTTGTTCATTAAGGTAGCTGCCACGTGGCATTGTATCAATTAACTAAGAATTCCCGAGTTTACTAAAAAAATTCCAACAGAAACCCTTGAAGTGCGTTAAAAATGAACTGGTTCTATCGTTTTGCACCGATCGTCAAACGTTTATCGATTAAATCTTGACATATAAGTAGACAACTTCAATTAATTTCACCTAAAATCCATTATTTACAATGCTTTTTCATACCATATAATTGGTTGTTTCAAATTATTTTCTTACAGGTCGGAAATGTTTAAAATGTTAGTGGTGCTATAGTTATGCTCCGCAGTGTATATAATAAATCTTGAATTTATTTAGCATTAAATCTTCATTGATAAAAACCAAGGTGGCGCCTTTAATTGCTTATATAATTGCATAATAATGATATATCGTTTCAAACAGCAAACAACACGTATTTTGGTAAAGAATATGTAGAAATTCTAATAATATTGAAAAAGTTGTTCCTTGACTCCCGAAAAATGAGAAAAATCCCATAAAAATGGTCCAATATTCAAACAGCCATAACTCCTATAATAGTGAATATATTTCATTGAAATTTTGGGAGGAAGTTGAGTTTATGGATACCTACAAAAAAGTATTAGACAACTTTTCTGTAAAAGTACTGATTTGATCAACAGATTCTGTGTTGAATCGCCGATTGTTTATTGTTGTATAAATTTATTGCGTTGTGTTATGCATCCTTTCCTTGATAATTATGATTTTTGCACCATTTTAATCATTCTAAGACATACACTCGCCGCGGAAAGTATGTTGACAAGTTTCGAATGCGTA